CTCATTTAGATATAATTCTCTTAAACAACACTCTGCATAATATAACGTTGTTTCATTAGTGTTGTTCTATTTATATGCTTCTTCCAAATTGTTGGAAAATGTGAATTGGCTCCTTTCTTAAACATGTTTGCTACTGTAGAAAATGATAAGGAGGAAATAATTTTAAGGTGTGGAGTAAGTCAAGGTCGTCCTATAATCTTTCAACCATTCATTTCCTTCTTCCGTTTGTCAATCATTTGTCAAGCTGATCGATACAAAAGTGCATTCCTAGTCAAGCCCACCCACGCATCATAGCATTTGGATCGATGTTGCAACTTCAAATCTAATTCTCTTCATAATATAAGCATTTGGACAATTGTATGACTGATGAAACTGCATTTCTGATTAAAAAAAATAAAAATATAACAATTAGCTGTGTTCTTGGAAGTATAGAAGAGAGTAGTTTTGAAGCTTAAAGAAAAAGCAAGAGGAAAGGAAGAGAGAGAATCAAAATTACATCAGCCATCTATATTCTTAGTTATGATGAAGATAAAGTTGAGTGCATCAAAACCTTGTATCCTTATTGCATCTTTGTTTACAGCCGTCCTTCTCTTCAAACCAAGTCTTTGTGCTGCATGCATTGAAACCGAAAAACAAGCACTCTTAACCTTCAAACACTCTTTACATGATCCCTCAAATAAGTTATCTTCTTGGGATGACAAAGTTAATTGCTGCTGGTGGAAAGGTGTTCTCTGCAGCAGCAGCTTAACTGGCCATGTTGAAGGACTTCAACTTCAAAGTGGCTTAAATGGCACACTGAGCTCATCTTTGCTTGACCTGAAGCATTTGAGATATCTCGACCTCAGCCAAAACAATTTCCTCCAACCAATCCCTTCCTTCATTGGATCACTCGCTAGCCTCGAGTATTTGAATTTATCTCACGCCGAATTTTACGGAAAGATTCCATATAGCATTGGAAATCTTTCTAAGCTGCACACTCTAAGTTTAGAGGAGACTCGTTCCACACCATCACCATTACAAGTGGATAGCCTGGAATGGTTGTGGGGGCTTTCTAATCTAAAGCATCTCAATTTGAATGGGGTGAATCTCAGCCAAGCGCGCGACTGGGAAAAACAGGTCATCCATAAACTCCCTTCTTTAATCCACCTTCATTTAAGTTCTTGCATTCTTAGCGATTCTGCACGTTTGTCGAACGATGTCAATATCAGCCGTTCGAATTTAGGCACTCTTGATCTCTCCTCAAACTCCTTTGCCACCATCCCAGAATGGATTTTCCAACTCACCAATCTTAATTTTCTTGATTTGAGTGTCAACTCGTTCGGAGGTCCAATCCCGACAAATGCCAATTTCACAAGACTCCAACACATTAATCTCTCAGAAAATCATTTCAATTCCACCATTCCAGACTGGCTCTACACTTGTGAAAACATTGAGTTTGTCGATTTGGGATCGAATAATTTACAGGGGAATATTTCCAGTGCCATATCGAATTTAACCTCTCTCGCCACCCTCGTTTTATCCCACAACGAACTTTCTGGAGAAATACCGAGAGAAATCGGCAGCCTGTGCAAAATGCAAAGGCTGGACCTATCTTACAATAAGTTGGGAGGAGATATATCCGATTCATCATTTGCAAAATGCAAAGGCAGTTTGGAATTTCTGGATTTGAGTATGAATCAACTTTCTGGTCATCTAACTCATCTGTTCGGGTCATTCAAGCAGCTGAGAGCTCTAATGCTTGGCAGAAACTCGTTATCGGGCGTGATTCCAAGCAATATAGGAAACTTATCTTCCCTTCAGTCTTTAGACATGTCTTATAACAGATTGAGTGGGACTCTCCCAGAGAGTGTTGGCCAACTTTTTAACTTGAAAGGTCTTCTCCTTCATTTTAATATGCTGGAAGGAGTCGTGACTGAAGCCCACTTTGCCCGTCTCTCGAAACTCACAGTTTTATCCGCCTCTGGAAATCACTTGACTTTAAACATAAGCAAACTTGACTGGATTCCGCCTTTCAAACTAGAGACACTTCTGTTGGGTTTATGGAGTTTGGGCTCAGACTCTCGGATTTTCTCGTGGCTTGGGACACAACAGAACAGTATTTTGGAACTCGATTTATCTTGTACCGGAATCTCGAGCGATGTCCCCAGCTGGCTCTGGAGTGTCAAATATCTCAACCTCTCATATAACCAGCTTCATGGCAAGATTCCGGTTATAAGTGATCCTAAGGTTGACGATGTTAGTTATGGCAGATTCATATATTTGAGTTCCAACAATTTTAGCGGCCCATTGCCTCGTGTGGGAAACAAAGTGTCAGAGCTTGATCTCTCGAACAATTCGTTTTCGGGAGGAATATCCCACTTCCTTTGTCAAACCTCAACTCAATACTTAGCCAGAATTCTCGATCTCGGGGGAAATCGTTTGAGTGGCGAATTGCCGGATTGTTGGATGACTTGGCCAGTCTTGCAAGTGTTGAATTTAGGCAATAACAACTTCTCTGGAAGAATACCAAACTCTATTGGTTCTCTTGTCTACTTAGTGTCTTTGAATCTAAACGACAACAATCTTTCTGGCCATATACCGTTTTCAATTGACAACTGCTCGAAATTACTGAAGCTGGACTTTGCTCGTAACAATCTTGATGGTAACATGGGAACATGGACCTGGACAAGCTTGTCCGGATTGAAGTATCTCATTTTACGCTCAAACAACTTCGATGGAGAATTGAATCCATCCATTTGTCAACTCAACTCTCTTCAAATTTTAGATCTCTCAAACAACAGATTCTCAGGGGTAATTCCCAGCTGTGTAGACAGCTTTACTGCAATGACTACAACACGAAGTCTTCCGGAAGGTAAATTCGACTACGGAGCACCGGGATATTCCTTTTACTATGGAGAAACAGGATATTCACTTCACCCGAGAGCATTTATAGAGAGTGCATCGATCAACATTAAGGGCAACGAACTCCACTACGACACCATTCTCCCATTGGTCACTGGCATCGACCTTTCCCGGAATAATTTTTCCGGCGATATCCCGAGTGAGATAACGAGTCTGGTGGAATTGAAATCACTAAATCTATCGGGAAATAATTTCACAGGAATTATTCCAGACAACATTGGAAACATGAAGCAACTCGAATCACTTGATCTCTCGAGGAATTTTCTGTCCGGTGAAATTCCTAATAGCTTCACACTTATGACTTCTCTGGAGTATGTGAACCTGTCTAGCAATAACTTGAGTGGGAGAATTCCTGAAAGCACACAACTCAGGGGCTTTAACGAGTCGAGCTTTGATGGGAACAATCTTTGTGGGCCGCCACTAACGCTTTCTTGCACTGAGGAAGGAGAAGTCGTTAGAGAAGCTGGTGAAGAACGTGAGAAGCGGGAGATTGAGTGGTTTTACGTGTGCCTTAGCTTAGGATATGCAGTCGGACTTTCGCTTGTCGTCACTGCATTCGTGTTGAAGAAAGCAAGGGAAGCGTATTATGGATTTTTACAGGACACGTGGGATAATGTGTATGTGTTTTTCTGTATTAAGTGGAGGAGCCTTACAAGAGCCTTGGGCCAAGATTAATAAAGTGAGCTGATGTACAGCTATGATGGTTGTTATTTTTCATATTATGTGTGGGCGTTTCTTAATGTTTTTATGGTACAATCAATGATGCTAATAGAATATGAAGTTTACTTGTCTTTCTTGGTTTATTATAATATATATTGTTCACACTGCATTTCGTATGTTGGGTTCTCATGAAGATTTTTTTGTTGATGTTAATAAACCACTGCCCACAGGCCACTACAAGCAACCGAAATAGGAATGGCAGTACTAAAAAATGCAGTTGCCTACAAAATATTGAACAGTTAATTATTATATACACCTCAAATGCAGTCACCAATACTTTGAATACAGTGTAAGTGGAACCATTCAACCAACATATAAAATAAACTGGGCATGGATACGTGAGAATGTTTACTACGAGTCCCATCAAATGTGGCTACAGAAAGAAAAATCCCATCAAAGTAGGTAATGGCTGCTATACAAGGCATTGTATGTATATGAATATCCCAAATGACTTTCAATTCTGCTTGTCTCGATATTTCATCATTAACCCAAAAGACTTTCAATTCTGTTTTGGTTACTGCTTACAGGATAGTGATCTACTCACGAGTCTTCTACCAACAGCATAACAAACGAACAAAACTCAGATGAAGGCCTCTCAAAAGAAAACGCCCAAACCCATGGTCGTTGGTTGACTCTGATTACGAGTCAAATAGAGTCCTCAGAGGCTTGCTTTTGCTTCTTTTGCTTCTGAGAGGGAGGCATATCTCCAAGAAACCTGTTGCAGAAAATGAATTTGCTATCAAAATGTACTGTGTGAATGGAGTTCTAAGTAAACATTTTTCATTCTCTTATAAAAATCCTAATCCAGGTTGAAAACGTCTCTCCATGTGTTCCTTCAATCTTCGTTGTCATTTGTCGTCCCATTATTTATTGGCCTAAGTTCTTTATTTTAAGTAACTGCCTTTTGGTTATATTCTTCTTTGTTTACTCCAACAAAGTCAAACTTGGAAGAAGATTTGAACAATACTAAGGAAACCCGGTGATCAGTTTCTCAAGCATACGGAAGAAGAATTTGTAGTAAGGAACTCATCTTAGAATTCATCATTATTCAAAATGAGGACAAACGTAAAAGTAAAATACTATGAGTAGCAACTAGCAATCACTAGGAGACACAATTCATAAAGCATATTATATGTCTATAAAATTGCATCATGAAATTAAATATTATTGAGACAGTCATCACCTTGTATGATGTCAGCATCGACAGAATAGAGCACTGAATATAAAAAATAAAATAAAAATGGCTCACATATCGGTTATTCTTTTCCTCTGATCAGAGCAGAAGTATGGAAACAAATCCTCAACACTCATACTGCCAAAATCATCACTGACATTCTCTTTTAGTAAATTACAGTCAAAGGCAAAAGCTGCTGGTTTATCTTTTAGTTGCCCCTTCAAATGTTCCATAAAAACGGAACCTGTAAGGTAAATAGCAAGGTAAATTAAATAGCAGTTTTATCTAAAGAAAACCTGAAACACAAAATGCAAAGCACAAATAGAAACAACATTAAAAATCCTATGAAAAACCAAAAAATACAAATGAATACCCGAGCTAAATGAAAGGAAAAACAGTATACATATTCGGACAAAGCATTTGCTCAAGTCACAGACATCATTGTAAACTATAAAATAATCAACATTATTCTGCTATGCAATCATATTAAAATTATAGTCTGGACAAATATAAAATTGTATGATTTGAACATGGTTGAAGAAAGAGGGCTGCACAAATAAATGCAACTAACAATCATTAGTTCATCACACAATAAACATTTGAAGTACTCGCACCCCAGATATGTTGGTGAAAAAGGTAGCTAACAACATTAACAGATTATTGCATTCAAAACTATTGTGATCTTTACCCATTTCTAAAGTAGAACATAAACTGTAAAATACACCATTTCCTAGATCAAAGAAACCATAACACAAAAAGGAAAAGATACGAGACGTAGAACATGTAAAATACATCAATTTCCCTTTATCAAAGGAACCGATAACATAAAAATAAGAGATTGGAAGTACATTTTAATCTACATAACTTGGTTAAATTACCAACAGGAAAAAGCAAATAATAGAAAACAAAAGCCTATTATATTTCCCCATCCAACATACCACCAACTCCAAATGTGAAATCCTTCATATAAATTAGGAGCATTTTCAGCAAATGAGATTAATCAGACACACCTCCAAACAAATCACACTTTATATCAGCAAACTCATGCCGAAAAAGATTTCGACTTTAATAACATGCAAGCGATGAACAAAAGGTATATACAGCACCACATCGAGAGAACTCATAAAAGAAAAAAGAAATATCCCAAATAAAAATAAATATATTGGGTTATATTAAAAAGACAAACCATAAAGCAACTTACTGAGGATTCGCAACATTCCCAAGTCGAATTTCTTAGCCAAAACTTCGCGGCCAATTTTCTCGGCGCGCATGTTCACCATTGTCTTCAAGCCCATCAAAAAATCCTAATAAACGAAAACACCATCGACGCTATAAATAAAGCATATACATGTCCGAAAAACAACTTTTTCGCAACAAGTTGCCTTTGCAAATCAATGGATGCTGAAATTCGGAACTTACAATTTCAGACTCGGACAAAGAACACAGCCAGCGAACATCATCTATGTCGTTGCGACCTAGCACAGTTCTCGCATCCATAGCTGAAATCAATATTAAATTTGTGGTTTATGAATTGGGAAAAAGATTGAAACTTTCGATCGTTAACGGAACCAAACAAGAATATCAGTGAGCTTGTGCGGCGGCGTGGGCTTTCCTTTGTTATTGGGTTTTGTTTCCATAATACATTTTCTTAATATAATTTTTAAGTAAAAAACGTATTCCTTAAATACGTGTTTAAATTAAATTTATTTAATTATTTGAAAAACATATTATCGAAAATTGTATATCCAATTTTAACTTAAAACCGTATTTACGAAATACGTTTTCATGAAAACCTCAAATTAATTTCAAACCTTAAAGCCCTAAATTAATTTTAAACTTTAAATGAATTTAGGTTTTATAAAATGTATTTCTTTAATACGTTTTATAAACAATTTAGGTTTTATAAAATGTATTTCATTAATACGGTTTTTACCATTAATTAATTTTTAAGAAAAAATTAAATTAATATAAAACGTATAATTGAAATACGTTTTCTAATATAATAAAAAAAATAAAAACGTATTTGCAAAATACGGTTTTTAACAAAATATAAGTACGAAAAAATCTTCTCCTCCACCACTCTGCGCGAACAAACCAGCGAGAAGAGAAAAAAAAATTCATTTGCATTCCATCAAATCTTCACCTGAAAAAAAAAAAGAAAAAAAAAAAACTTTTAACAATCAATCGATTCGGAGAAGAGGTTAGTTGTTATTTTAATGTAATGTAATTACATTTTTTTTGTTGTTTATGAATGTGTAAGAAATATTTGTTGGTTTTGACGAGTCTTGTTTAGAAAAGATTTATTGTTGATTTAATAGTTGTGTTAAATGATTATACATTGTTCTTGGATGATGGGTTTCGGTGTATGTTGAGAATTTTTTCGAAAATTGGATGATTTGTATTGTATGGTTGGAGTATGAGAATTAGGGTTTTGGAGAGTTATTTTATAAACGAATTGGTGATTCTTTTTTTATTGTAGTATTAATTGGTAATATTTATCTTGATTTGAGTAAAAGAATAATTGAATTTTTTGGGAAATTATGTGTTGTTATAATTGGGAAGAATTGAAAGTGTATTATATGTTATTGATGGATTATGAGTATTAGGGTTTGTGAGGATTATTTGATTAAAGAATTTGTGATTTTATTTTTAATGTTGTATTATTAATTGAAATTTTAATTTTAGTAAAAAAATTTTGAATTTTATTTTTTGGTTGTGGGAATGATAAAAGAATAATTGAATTTTTTGGGTGTTGAGTTAGAAAGTATGTGTTGTTGTAATTCAGAAGAATTGAAAGTGTTTTTTGCAACAGGTATAAATGGCGTCTACCGGACCATACTTTGTTAATGTGTATTGGAATCATCTCAATGAGTTGTTATATTATTTTTCAGATTTTAAAAACTCTCCGGATGGTTCATTTAGCATTGGAGAGATGATAACATTTAAACAATTGGTAGATATTCTTTATGAAAATTTTGGATTTCGTCGAGATGGTTGGATAATTGAGGAGATTAGTTTACTGACTAACCAACCCGATGGTTCGTAGGATATTGGAAACCTGAATACTGATAGTGTTCTTCATTGGATATATTATTTCCCTCCTTTCTCCTATGTGTATTTGCATTTAGACTTGAAGCAGGTTACACAGGCACCTACAGAGTTTACGCAGTTTGAGGATATTGCCCCTTTTTACGGGGGAGTGGCTGATGTTGAGGGTACGTCCACTTCGCATGCTCGTAATTTTGGCGAAGAGACAAGCTCAACAGTTAGAGAATTCGATAATGAGGAAGAAAGTGATCATGATTTCATTCATGGTGAAGACGATTTCACAGATGATACCTCGGAAACAGAATCGAATAGATCAATAAACGAGGAGAGTGAACCAGAATTTATTGAAGACCACCCATTTCCTAGCAGCGGTCAGCACGTGTAATGCGAGATGGGTGAGTGGGACCCGTCGTGTGTAGACCGGGATGAGCATGCTCTGCTACGTTGGAATGGAAATATTGAGACTATCTGTTTGGGTACTGTTTTCCGGTCCAAGGAAGAAGCACAGATGGGTATCATGAGTTGGAACATTAGTAGGTTGAGGGAGGTTAAGACAACATATTCGAATAAGAAATCATTCAAGGTGGTGTGCAAATCTAACGAAGATCAACCTTGTCCGTGGAGGGCTCGGGTGACGCACTGCACACGGGTTCATGAACTGTGGGAACCAATGGAATGGACTGAGAGGCACAGTTGTATGCAAGAAGTCGAAAAAAATGACCCCAGAAATGTAATCGCCAAAATGATTTCAAATCTTGTCATGACCAAGATTCAAAAGAAACCCGACTATAGTGTTACCCTGATCCAGGAGGATGTTAAAAAATGTTGGAAAGTCGATGTGAGCTATAAGAAGGCATGGCACGGGAGGAAAAAAGTCATCGATCGTTTGTATGGCACTTGGAAATCGAACTTCGCACAACTCCCTCAGTAAGAAAAAATTTATTAAAAATGTACGTGTTATTTGTCACTATGTTTATGTATTGATGATTACGTTTTGTAACGTGCAGGTTTTTTTGCGGCGCTTCAAAGAGCGAATCCCACTACAGTTGTACAGTAGGAATGGCAGGGTGGGGAAATGGTGCCGACTATCAGCACATAGAATTCAAATTTGTTTTCTGGGCACTTGGTCCCACCATTCATACCTTCTAGAGATGCCTGCCGGTAATTAGTATGGACGGCACACATTTGCGTGGCTCGTATAAGGGGAAGTTGCTTGTGGCCATTGCACAGACTGCGAATAAGAGGCTATTGCCAATCGCCTATGCGATTGTGGATGAAGAGAGCCGAGAAAGCTGGTCATTTTTCCTGACAAATCTCCGGCAACATGTTGTCGGAGACAGACAGATATGCTTTCTTTCGGACAGGGATACGGGCTTACAGAGTGTCGTGGAATCATTGGAAGCTTGGCAAGAACCCGCTGCATATCATCGGATTTGTCTTCGACACCTTCGGAGCAACGTGGTCACTAAGTTTAGGAATAACAAAATCCGAAATTGGTGTTGGGAGTTGGGTTAACAGGTTTCAGAGAAAAAATTTCAACAGATACGAGAGCGGCTTTCGGATTTTAATCCGGAAGCATACGATTACCTGTTCGGAATTCCTCTGAACAAGTGGACCCTGTTTGGAGATGGGGTACATTGATAACCAATATGTCCGAGAGTTACAACAACGTCCTGAAAGATGTTAGGTTCTTGCCCTGCCGCGCTTTGGTACACGCCACATTCATGAAAACTCTGGACTTGTTTGAGCAGAAACAAACGAAGTCCACGAGATGCAGTAATGTCATTGCTAGTGCCCACTATGCCGCTTATTGTGAATTGGAGACTACGGCCGCAACTCATAAGGTGTAATGTGCGAACGCGGAGAGATCCCTGTACAAGGTGACAACCGGTCTACGGGCTCATGGTAGAGAGGACAAAAGGTATATGGTTTATTCATTTATTGTATAATTTTTATTTTTTTTATTTTGGTTCATTAAAATTTTTAGTTGTTTATAAATATAATTCAATGTGGAAAAACAGGTATAAGGTTTCGTACGACCAGATGCGTTGTAGTTGTCTGAAGTGGCAGACACACAGGAAACCATGCTCTCGTGCTCCCACTTTTGGACAGAGAACTGGGTAGCTCAATTTTCTAATTGGAGTTTTGCTCCGATTGGTGATCCAGACACATGGCCGTTGGTCGGATGGAACTTACTACCACATTGGGAGCGGATCGTCACGAAGGCTGGACCCAGTCACGTGCAAACGAAGCGTCATCGCATGCAAATGGATCGTCGGGCACGCCGCCGGAATGATAGAGGACAGTGTAGTAGATGTGGTAATTCAGAGCATTTTGTGGATGACTGTCCGTCCTCACATTCTCGCACTGATAGATCTAGACTCCGTGATGAGTGGGGAAACTAGATTTGTTAGTGTTTATTTTTTTTTATGCTGGACTATTTTTTTTATTGTTTACTTTGATTTGTTGGACTATGTTTGGATGATATATTTTTGTTATGTTGGACTGTATATGAGTTGATTTGTTTGTGTATTTTTGGTGTAGTTGGTTGTTTTGAATATTTGTAACAGGTTTTAAAATGGTGAAACAATAGAAAGAACAACAGTGGCTAAACTCACATTTTACGAGCCAAAACTTTTGTTTGACAGAGTTCTGTGGCCTCGACAAGTCGAAGAACGGCAATCCGGTTCGCGGATTTCAAATCGAGAAGATATTAGCTACCACTAATGGTGCATCGTTTATCTAACTTCCTTCTAGTTAATGTTGCAATGGTGCTTTTCAACTTGCCCAAATTTAAATGTTTCCTTTTTTTTTTGGTAATTTTTAAATCATGCAGATTGGAATTGGGCTCCTTTTTTTTGAAACAGCTATCTGGAATTAATGGCGTTATCTTTTATTCCAACACTACATTCGAATCTGCTGGTGGGTAGAACTGATGGCCTTTTCTTGTAATAGGGAATAAGTCTTTACATTCTATATAAGAAGTTATAGACCAACATAACTGATGAGTCTACTTCCAGATCTGGAGTAAACCGGTGGATTTGAGCTCAGATCTGCTTGAACCGCCTCTGAATCGTTGCTAGACCGCGAGATACCTGCAAAAACTCAACGCCGGAGGTGTTTCCGGCGCAGAGCCTCCGACGCTCAAGTCAGTATGAGAGTGATGAAAAGATGTTGCGCAGCAGCTATGGGGGGAGAGTGGGAATGAATGAGAGTTAGGGTTTGGGGTTACCTCACTTTCTTTATATAGGAGTGACTACTTACCTGAAGTACCCAGAATGCCCAAGTCGGTGAACCTAAAAGGTCCAAAATGCCCCGGTCGATTCGTCTCCCTTTACTGCTGAGTCATCACAAGATTCCTTCTTATCTTTTGAAATATATAGAGCTTTGAGAGCCCTGAGTAAGCTATGTGTGATGAGTCGTCATCACATCTTTGGTCTTTGAGATACACGAAGTCGACTTCGAGAGCTAGGAGGTCGACTTCGAGAGCTAGGAGGTCGACTTATGATTATATGAGGTTTCGGAGGCTACACTTGGTTAATTCTCTTGAGTGGCAGTCGTCGTTGGAGAATCGTTTTGGCGA